GTGTGCTGGCGGCCGCTCCACGTGTGGGTGGTTTTCTGGACTCCTGAGGAGGGGAGGGAGGCCGCATGGGTGGCCTGCCTGATTTAGCGTCTGGGGTGGGTTCCAGGAGAAAGGAGGAAATGGTGTGGATGAAATCGAAGTGGCTTGAGTAAACTGGAGGTCTAGTTAGTTCACCTGCCTGTTGACCTCCAACGGAAGGAGGAAGCCAGAGTTTATTTGAACGTAAAGCCGCCCTTTGATTCAGACACCTGTCCCTCGGTGGCGTACTCATCTACTTGAGCTGTGAATGATCGCCGTTATTTAAATTTCTGAAAGCTGGGTTAATGGTGTGTTAATACCCATTAATGAGCAGTTAAAACTAAAAAAAAAAAAAAAAAAAAAAAACGCATATTCAAAATTAGTTGAATGAGGCTAACGGTTATCTGTATTATAGTTGAGTTGCACTTTAAGGCTCCGAGACTCTTACCCTAATTTATGTGTTACAGATGAAGGTAAAGATTCAAAAGAAGATGCATAACGAAAGTCAGGCATTTTATGATTGAATACGAAACTAAAAATAATTGTCTCTTTGTCTTAGGTTTTTGTTTTTGCAGCTCATGGTGTTAACTGTAGGAAAAGGTTTTTTCTAAATCTCACACAGAGGTGTTTAAAAAGTGCAGTTACTTTGTATGATACGCTGACCAGTTCCTGTATTTTAACTTACAGCCACACAACAACCCTGTAATGTGGTTATATCCCTTTTATGAAAGAGTGAAACGGCTCCCACAGCTGAAATAAGTCTGTAGCCTCACAGAAAGAAAATAAAGACCACAGCCACCTGCCTTCTAAGTACCAACTCTTTTCACTATGCCATGCTTCTCCAGTAGGTTGATGGCATGCTTCCATGGCAAAATCATTAAAAGTGATCAGGAAGATGTCAAGGGGCCTCTGGATGGGTAGGCCGGTAAGCCTCCGTCTCATGGTTTCCTCTTAGGTCCTCATCTCACCGTCCAGGTTGAGGTCTGCATTGGAGTCTGTCAGCCCAGAGTCTTCTTAAGACTCCCTTTCCCTCTCCCCCTGCTCCTCCCCACTGTGTGCATGCTCTCTCCCACTCTACAAAAAATAAATAAATCTAAAAAAACAAGAAACAAAAAAAAACCGTGATTAGGAAAATACCTAGATCAGGCATTTCCAAAGGAATTTTTTTTTAAGATTTTATTGATTTGACACTCGAGAAAGATCACAAGTAGGCAGAGAGGCAGGCAGAGAGAGAGGAAGGGAAGCAGGCTTGCAGCTGAGCAGAGCCCGTTGTAGGGCTCGATCCCAGGAGACCTGAGCCAAAGGCAGAGGCTTTAACCCACTGAGCCACCCAGGCGCCCCTCCAAGGGAATTTTTGCAGCCTCAACATTTTGCCCATGGCACCAATAATGGTTGGAATCTGTATTTAGGAGAAAAGGGAGAAGAAGGAACAAGTTGGACTACATTGTAAATTCCATGAGGGTAGACTTAATCTCATCATTGCATACCCATTGCCTTAACATGTAATAGGCACTTAAGCGTTAAATGACTAGGTGAACAGATAGATGGGTATCTATGTGAACTAGAGAAAGAAAGTGCTGATAAAGCATGTATATGCTGGAAATTAGTTCACTAATTAAGCACACATGAAGAGTGCTGAGCACAATTAGACTGTTCCTGTCTAGAACGCTATTGTAGTGACAGTTATGTTGACAAAGAGACCTCTTGGTGTTCCAGGGTTGGGTTCAAGAAAAGTGTATTACAAATCTGAAGTTAGCATAGTGCAAACTGTCCAAACAAAGGAGATTTCTATAGGAATACACCCTATAAGGGTCATTTAGGTTGTATTTTCTCAGTGGAGCGATATGGCCCCCAATGTGGTGGAGCAAAAAAAAAATCTTAGATATAATCTTAAATCTCAGTTTATGGTGCTCCAAAGTTAACCTTATCAAAAAAAAAAATCCAAAATATTTACTTTCATGAAGAAGGTATGAGAGGATTAGGGGAAAAAGGTCTAGGAAAGATGGAAACCTTCGATCTCAGCTCATCTGGAGACTAAAGTCAAAGTGGAGATAATCTTAAATGCATTGGAGAGTTGGTTTTTAAAGAGTAAATTCAGTTCCTATTTGGCAGAACATGCCGTCCATGGTTCCCTTGGTTCAAGCCATGCAGGCAATTTATCTTAGCTAACAGTAACAAATTGAATTCAATACCTGCTGTAGGCAATTCTTCTAAGTATTTTCAGAGGTTAGTTGATAATTAGTTCCTTCTAAGAAATAGATATAGTTTGTTGTTTTTAATTCCCTAGTTCAATGTTTCATTTTTCCTTGAAATTTTAATTTGTTTTGCTCTAAATACATTATACTTTTATCTTTTTTCTTAAAATCTGTTGCATTGGCATTCCATTTTAGTTAAAGGAAGTTATTTCCAGTTAACACTTAAGAAAATAAGTTATAATCCTAACACTAGTATTATATTTCTTTTTTGTGACTTTTTTCTTATTTCACAAATTCAAAATATATTTATACTCAAGTAGTAACATTTCATAGAACTGTGTTTCCTTCTTTGGATCTTTTGAAATTAGTTTTAAAAAAAATTAAAGGGATGTTTTCAGGAAAAAAAATGAATAGAAGTGTTTTAAGTGCTATATTTAAAAAGTATATTACTCAAAATTCTCTAATTTGATTAAATTCTTAACAAGTGTTCCTACTACATATAATACAAATGTACAATATGAACTAAAGTGTATCTTTTCTAAAAAATAATTATGGTATATTAGTGCGATTTCTGTTCAGATGATTCACAGCTATATTTTGTTAATTATTTTTTTAGTTGTGACTAGTTTTCTTTCCTTCCAGTCAGTAAAAATTTCAAATTCCTAAATCTACAAATAATATTTTCTAATGTAAAAAATATTTTTAAAATATTACAACAGTCCTGTTGTCAGGTAAATTGTAGAAGAGACGATAAAAATTAGAACAGTTCTTCAACATAAAAGTTTCAAATATTTTGGGGCACCCGGCTGGCTCAGTTGGCAGAGCATACAATTCTTGATCTCGGGGTTGTTAGAGCCCCACATTGGGTGTAGAAATTTACTTCAAAAAAAAAATGTTTCAGACACTTTTGAAAGAGTAGAATCAATAGAAATATTAAATGTCCTGCTCAAATATATTCATTCCACTTAATTAAAAGTGAAACAATGGGGCACCTCGGTGGCTCAGTCGTTAGACATATGCCTTGGACTCAAGCCCATTGGGCTCTAAGCTCCTCAGGGAGCCTGCTTCTCCCTCTCCCCCTCCCCCTGCTTGTGTTTCCTCTCTTGCTGTGTCTCTTGCTGTCAAATAAGTAAATAAAATCTTAAAAAAACTAAAAGTGAAAAAATACTCCCAATTTACTTTCTAAAGTATCATTAGACCATCATAAAAATATTTAAGAAATATGTAATTTTTTGGCTTCAAAGATCTGCAAAAAAAAAACTGCTTTATTTCAGAAACTGTTTATTGGAAATCTGAAACCCAGAAAAAAAAAATAGAATGTGGTTTATATATATGTCTAACAATTGAAGAAGCTAACTTACAGAATGTAAAGTTTTTTTTTTAATATAAATAATGAAACTGGGACTAGAAATGTCCCTTCGAGCCTCTGTTTACCCAAGCACAAAATCATCTATATTTGAGCCAATTCATGGTTCTGAAAGATAAACTAATTTATGTAGTCTCAGCACATACTTTTTCCTCCTTGTGGGAGGTTGGTTATAACTTGTCTTTAATGTCAGAAAATTGGAGCACATTATCCCATTTATGTCCTAAAGGTCTTTGAATCATCACCCTGGGAGGACTTCATAAGTCATACACTTCTCTTTGTAAAGGTAATAAAATAGTCTAGCATATTAAAAGGCCGCTCTTGCCTGGGTTAAAATCTACCACTTGACCAAAGTCCATAGCTTTTCAATTAAGTTCTCTCCTTAACTGTGAATTAAGCTTCATCCCAGGCTGTGAAGCTTTTGAAATTTGTTGGTGCTTCAAACTTAACCTTATCAAAAAAACATGGAACCTAACCTGGAAAAGAAAGCAGAATTGTGTAATAGCGTTGTACCATGACAGATGGTAGCCACACCTGCGGTGAGCATGGCATGATAGCGATGTTGACTCACTATGTTGTACATCTGAAACCAATGTAACATTGTGTCAACTATCCTCAAATAAAATTAAAAGTTAAATTATAAAGCGGAATGGACGCAGGTAGGGGATTAGCTCTTGGATTTAAAAGGTTAGCTGAGTAATAAATCAATTACAGCCGCAGCCAGTTCCTTCTAAGGAATATTAGATACATATTTTCTTAATTGCCTAATTCGACCTTTTCCCTTGAAATTTCAGTTTCTTTGCTCTAGGTAGAACATGTTTTCCCCTCTATTTTGTTGAACTGAAGAGATTACTGGGATCCCATTTTAGTTAAAGGAAGTTATTTCATTTCGTGTTATTTGGGCTCCATGAAAATTCGAATGCATGGCAAAACTTGGAGGCTTTAAGTTAATCACATAACTTAACTCCGTGGCTACCGGCATTCCATGGATCGTCTCCCATTAATTCTATTTCGAATCACCACGGAACCCCAAGCCTGCCTGCCTGCCCAGGGGTGACAGTTGAAGGAGAAACACCCCTCACTTTTCTGCGGTAACAGGGCAGCAAACGGCGGCTATTCGGTGGGAAGAACTGCAGTTGCCCCTAGGTTTTGAGGGGACAGGGGCGCACCTGCTCAAAAACAGAGACTCAAGAACCGGAACGTGGCAAACGTTTGCAAACAGTGACCGGTACAAACGCTCACGGAGGGAAACTCCCCGACTCCCACGCCCCGAAACCTCCCACTCAGCGGAACAGTATAGAACCCGCCCACCGGAAGTGAAGCCGGAGGAAACGCCACGTCGAAAGCGTGGGTTAACGTAAGCGTGCCGACGTCAGGTCCCGTCCTTCCGGCGATGGGAGGTCGGGACTCGGGAGGGGAGGCGGAGCGGAGGCGGGGCTTGGGGGTGGTTGAAGCTCTGGTGGGTTGGTGGGTTCAGACCGAGGGGACTACGGGTCGGCGTTTGGCTCAGTGGGCTCGAAACAAAGGACTATCCGGTAGGGACTCGGCGCGGTGCCTTCTGACCGGTAGCTGAGCGGCCCATCGAGGTTTCTCCGCCGACCAGTACCCTCACCGCGCGGTCTCAGTAGGCTTCTCCTCGGTTCCCTACAGCCAGCGGCGTGGTGGGGGGCCCCGCACAGCGGCACCTGCTGCTGAGGGACCCCGCGGCCCGCCCAGGTGCTCATGATGGGGCTGATCTTCGCTAAACTGTGGAGCCTCTTCTGTAACCAAGGTGAGAAGGATGGAGCTGCGCAACGGCTCGACTCCAAGGGGGAGAGTCCGGTCGCCTTAGGGGACAGCCAGAGGCAGGGCTGTCGGTGGACGCAAATGTTCTGAGACTCAGAGAAGTGATTTTCTCGAGGGGGCGGGTAGAAACTCGGTAATTTAGGCTGGGAGAAGGTGCAGGAGAGACTGGATGTGTGGGAGAAATGAGTGAAAAGAGGAGGCATTCGGGAGCCCAGAGTCCGAACTAAGAATTTTTGGATTTTAGCGAAGCAGAGCGGAAAGCACCTAGTGATTCCTGGAAGCATTTCGAGGGTCTTTTCTCTCTCTAATTAAGCATCCTGTGGCTTTCCCCCAAGATAAGTCCGCCCAGAAACCTATCAACTTTTTTTTTTTAATTATTTTTAGTAGTGCTGCTTTTTTTCCTACACTGTTCTTTAAGCCATTGCGCCTTCACGTTCTGATTTCTGCTTACTTGGACTTGGGAATGAGTTGTTCTGTGAGATGCACGGGTTTCCGGAAATCTGCATCCTAAACCTTTTATTCCTTTCCTAGGTATTATAATGAGAACTAAATGCTTTGGGTTCTGTATAGGAGATTGCGTGTCCGTAATTAGTCTAGAACGGGTTATGAGACATTTAGAAGTTGGAAGTCCAAAGGGCCAAGAAGTTGTAAAACCTGTTCTGAGTCAGAGAATGAGATGTCATGTCTTCTGAAGAGAGAAAATACACAGACAAAAAAGGGTCTGGCAATAAAGTTTTAGACATTCTTTGAACAGAATTCTTTCTTAGTAATTGGATCTCCTTTTAAAATTCAGTTTCGTTTTTCATTTAACACCCTACATAATAAAAACCAGTGTTTTGTAATGACAGCAATTGTTACTGCCAATGTGTTTTTTGTTTTTGTTTTTTGCGGGATTTGAGAAGTGAAGAAAATGAAAAGGCTTTAGTTCATTTGTTCCATAGGTCAGAACACAAAAATCGTCTTTTCCAAACTTATAAACACAGATTTATGTATATACGTATACAAATATGCGTATATGTGCAATTATATGTATATATGCAGTTACCACATGTATCACGCTTAACGTGATTTCAGAGTTTAACTTCTTAAATATATCTTTTTAATACATATTTAATACATGCTTTTTCAGTTTATATTTTCTAGTCCTCATTACATGAATTCACTAGTATATGTAAAGGAGTATTTTAACATGTTAAAAAGTATAAAGATCAACACAGTTATTATCTGCTTATCTTTTCCCATAGTTTAAGAAACAAAGCGTTACCAAAGTCTGTTTCTCCTTGTGTTACCCATCCAATTCCTCTTTCTCTCGTTTTATTACTGTTGTTTTATTTTCTTGTACTTTTTTTTTCTATTTATTATTATTATTATTATTACTGAGCCTTCCTTAAATCAGACTAGAAGGGAACAGAGGATGTAGGAAATGAAGAAAACATTCATGGGCTGCTTAAAGCCCCATAATTGTTCAGGCCTTCTAAATCCCCATTACTATTTAGAATTTTTCTTTTCCTTTAACTTTCCTGTTGAAAATTTAGACCCAGTGGTTATGCTCTCCTTTTATCCTCATTCATTCATGCAGCTAACATTTAATCAAAGGCCATCACCAGTCTTCAGTTAGGCTTGGAGATACAAAGATGAAAAACAAACAGAAAAGATAACATAGTTACTCACAAAGTACTCAAAGATCAGCAAATGAGACCTATGGGGAGATATCCAGTGTGGTAATTTTTTAAACAGGTATGTACAAAAGTGTGTTGATGATCACCAAGAAGCAAGTGATTAGTTTTTCTCACGTGGTTCTTGGAAGACTTTACCGAAAAAGGTATACTTACACTTGTACTCTGCTGTAAGTGGGAGTCTTCTGGGCATGCTAAGCAGACTGAGTAGAAGGGGCATATTATTCTAGGTTGAAGGACTCCTAATATGCAAATGGGAGAGGAATCAAATACTTGGGTACATTGGAGGAAGCTGAGGATAGTTTAGCTTGGCTGTATCTTAGTTGGCCTGTGGGGGAGTTAGAGGTGTTGAGGTTGGAGAGGTAGCTAGCGCCTGGAACCGGATCACAGAGGGCCTTGTGTGTCAGCTAAGACATTAAACTGTAAAGAGCCGTTGAAGAGATTGCTCATTGTATGTTATTTTTTAAGCTGGGGAATAATGTCATCAGACTGATACTTCAATCCTGTATTTTTTCCTTTCTATATCAACAAAATTAACTGACATTCTCAGCATTTTCCATTTTCACACTATAATGAAACTAATCCAGAGATACTCAAATCACTCAGTCTTGGTTGCATATTAGAATAATAAGCCCATGGCCCTATCTCGGACCAATTAGAAATGAATGGGGCAGGGTGGCCTGGGCGTCACTGCCTAGATGATTCAGATTTGCAGTCAGAGTTGAGAACTCCATATCGCTTTACTCCTTCTCCTTATCTGTTTTTCACTACTTGCCTCCTATCTTTTTTTCCTGTAGCATTTTACAGCACAAAGCATCTTCTTATAAATTTGATACCTTTCTGGGAATAAGTATGCTAAAGTGTGGTTGTCTAAGTAAAACTATGACAAAGTATACAACCTCAGCAATTTTGTATTACTTAATTATAAGTTAGAAGACATTACTTGGATGCAGTTATCAATGAAGGAAATAATTTCCAATCTGATTATCTTTTTTTTTTAAGATTTTATTTATTTATTTGACACACAGAGAAATCACAAGTCGGCGGAGAGGCAGGCAGAGAGAGAAGGGGAAGCAAACTCTCTGCTCAGCAGAGAGCCCGACATGGGACTCGATCCCAAGACCCTGAGATCATGACCTGAGCCGAAGGCAGAGGCTCAACCCACTGAGCCACTCAGGCGCCCCCAATCTGATTATCTTTACAAATTTATGAATATATCTGTTACAGAACATACTTCCATATTTTTAATTGTATGCATATGTGGAAATTTTAAACATTATCATTTGTGTTTTATTGAGATATAATTGACATACAACATATTTGTTTCAGGTGTACTAATCATTTGTCTTAGGGTAGAAGAGAAATTAGTACTTTTATGCCCTTTTCCCTTATCATCCCAAAATATAGTGTTTTGCTTTAACACAGTCTTTTCATTATTGTGACCGTAAAATTTAGTTACTCCTGTGCCAGAGTGTGCTAGAATTATGTTCCCCTTTTTCCTACAACTTTTTCCCCCTAGAGTAAATAATTACAACATCTCATTGCCTTAGTTTTCTTTGTGTGTTTGATTAAGCCATTTCATTCTGTCCCAAAACTCTGTACAAAGTTTCCCCACATCACACTTAATCAGCTGTTTTATCCCTTCTCCTGATCCCCTCAGTATTTGCTTCTGTTCCGAATTGAGCTTGCTTCCCTCTGCCTGCTCCACAGCTGTGCCAGACTTGTCTGTGCAGTCATGCCAGGAATTTCCTTTGCTTTTCTGTTTTATTAGAACATACGTCTTTCTTGCTTCACTACTTTTTGTTTGTTTTTTGAGGGTTTTTTTTTTAAGATTTTATTTATTTGACAGACAGATCACAAGGAGGCAGAGAGGCAGGCAGAGAGGAAGGGAAGCAGGCTCCCCGCTGAGCAGAGAGAGAGCCCGATGCGATGCCATGCGGGGCTCCATCCCAGGACCCTGAGATCATGACCTGAACTGAAGGCAGAGGCTTTAACCCACTGAGCCACCCAGGTGCCCTGTTTTTTGAAGCACATCCTACCAAAATTTCCTGCAAAGATGTCCAAAGCGGTAATTTTTTTTTTCAATTCCAAATGCCTGAAAATGTATTGGTCTCACTTTGCTTTTGATTTATAATTGGGCTGAATATAAAATTCTGAGTTGGAAAACATTTCTTTCAGCAGGCATTTGAAGGTATTGTCATGGTCCTCTAACTTCCAGTGTTGTTAAGAAGACCAGTATCATTCTTATTCTGAGTTTTTCTCTTTTTAGTAGATTTTAGAATTTTTCATTTATTCCTGGGGTTTTTAAATATGTGAGGTGTGTGCCTTGTAATGTGTCTTGTTTTGGTTCATTGTGCTAGGCCTTCTGGACCTTTTCAACAGAAAGTTGGACGCTTTTTGGTTCTAAGAATTTTTTAAATTAAATTTCGCTTAAGGTGATTTCCTCTACTTTTCTGGAAATCTTATCCGTTGTATTGTGCTGCTTGATTATCTAGCATTTTTTCCATTTTACTGTCTTTTTTTCTCAGTACTTTCTGGGGTATTTCCTTTGTCTTTTAATCTTCCTATTGAATATTTTGATTCCACTATCATAGTTATGCCACAGTTTATTAATTTGCATCATGATGAATTATAATATGTGAATACTTTCAAGTATGTGAATACTCTTTGTAAACATGTTTTCATTTCTCTTAGATGAGTATCTAGAAGTGCAATTTTTAGATCATAGACTGAATATATGATTAGTTTAATAAGAAACTATTAGATTGTTTTCCAAAGTGTTACACCATTCTCCTATTCTCACCAGCAGTGTTGGAGACATCCACTTTTTTTTTTTTTTGAGATTTTTTTTTTTTTTTTTTTACCTTTATTTTACAGAGAGCACAGGTGCACACACACAATTGGGGAGGGGGGTGGAGGATGGACAGAGGGAGAGAAGCAGACCCCCCTCTGAGTGTGGAACCCAATACCGGGCTCAGTCCCATGACAATAAGATTATGACCTGAGCCAAACCAAGAGCCAGCGGCTTAACCGACTGAGTCACCCAGGCACGCCTTAGACTTATGCTTTAACATCCTTACCTACAGATGTCGCCAGTCTTTTTAATTTTAGTTTATTCAGTTAGATGAGTAGCAGTGTCTCATTTTGGTTTTAATTTGCATTTTTCTGATGACTTTTGGATGATAAGCACTTTTTCACATGCTGGCTGGCCATTTGTATTTCTTTTGCAGAATGTTCAAATCCTTTTCTTGTTAAATTATTCTTTTATCTATAAAATTATATATATAATTATTTATATCTTCTGGATTTG